GCATGTGAAATTTTGATTTTTGGCCTTTCCATTAGGGTTCGACCAATTTTCCACACCTGAATCTATTTCATTCTTCGCTTCTTCTGATTGGAAAGTTCAAGGCGACAACCTGACCAAAACGACAAAGACACAAATACCATCCGCAATTAATCACAGGCAAAAGACGGTATTGTTTGTCCAGAGCCAGTTTTGATTTATTTAAAACAAATGAAATTTATGAATCGTCCTTTTTCATTCCTTTGTTACGCCGACATTCATTAGGGTTGGCGCTTGCTGTCTGCGTGATTGATCGTCTTCTGTTTTTGTTATTAGTCTTGGTCACTCCGATGCTAAATTACAAATTACGGCCGATTCATTTGCTTCGACTTTGCCGATGATGCGCCAATGAATAAATCGGGTTTCACTGGAACGGTGACGACAATGTTTATTTATTCATTATTCATCATCTAGGCAGGTATGCTGGATTTAGATAATTCTTCAGCTTCTAGTCGAGGAAAAAGTGACTTTTTTGGCAACGCGTTCAGCTTCCAGTTGGCCAGCATGGATATTTCCAAGTGAAAAGTTTCCTTCCATTCAAGGAAAGCTCATTTCCCATTAGCATATCAGCAATCTGCAAACCTCCCAGAAAAGGGGCCATAATTCAGCAATTCAAATTTAAATATTTCAAATGTGAAACGTAATTTCGTCCAATAATTCTCGGGCGTCGTAAAAATGTCGGCAGATATTTTAATGTGCGCTGAATTATGGCGAAAGAAATTAAACTGGGGGCGAGGTGCGGGCGACAATTTCATATTCTAACCGCCGGTTCTTTATTGCCCGTATTCCTTGTTATTACGTCTTTAATATCAAATCTGAATTATGCCGGGCGACGTGGACTTTTGTCCCAGTCGAGGCAGTTCCAATCCCGTTTTTCCTCACGAAAAACCAATTATAAAACTTTCACAGCTCGCTAAATCAATTTCTTCTTATCATTGTCATCTTAATTAATTTTATTCTGCCCACTGTTACCAAGAACATCCACTAAACCCTCAATAGTTAAAGTTACCTTTACATGAAAAAATCGACTAGGTCAGCTTCACTTCAGCATTGTCCTAAAGAAACATTTTTGGACTCAACGACTGATGGTTGCCTTAACTTTTGCCCAATTTTGCTGGAGTAAATGATGAAAAGGGAAACACCCGTTTCCAAACTTTTCCAAAAGCGACCGCACGGATTCTCAGAATCAAAACAAATTACCTTCATAATGATTGAAAAAAAACGAGTTTCCAATGGTTTTGGGGGGCTCGAAGCGAAGTAAACAAGTCAACCAACCATGTTTGTTTTCAGAATTCCGGCAATTTATCAACACAATATAAATATATGCCTCATTAGAAGAGCGTGTAGAGTTGGGCGACTCGCAGCCCCCCCGGGGGGCTTCGGTAAGTGATCTCCAGCAGGCAGACAACTCTGTTAATGTCTGACAAACCTATATACGGTGGCCCCATGCCATTAACGACTTTCACCGTATATTTTTTCATCCCTGGAAAGGCTGCTGATGCCCAAAAGGGCGCAGTTTAAACCAGAATATCTTTTGACGAGTTTCAATGTCAAGTTGTTTTCCAAAATGTTTGAAAGGCAATTCACCAACAATTGGGTAGGGTTTAGAGTGGTTATAAAGACATCAAGGTGACTCCTTAAATGTTATTGAATGAAGCATATACTCACTGAAAAAAGGTTTCCGCCTCTGGCTTTCGTAATTTATTGACCATTTTATGACTTATACTAAGAATGGCTTCGAAAAGCTTCCCCAATGTATAATTCGATTTTGGTTAAATTAGGAAAATAGAATCGTCTTTGTCATTCCAGTACGCGGCTCTCTCGTATCGGAGAAGGTTATCTCACTTGCACATATATGAGTGAAGAGAGATGCGCGACTACCTGCGAGTTGCCACGTTCGAATATGATACCTCCACGCCCCAAAATTTCTTGGTTTTCAACCAGACAAAAATGAGAAAATCTTTTTTGGTGCCTCATTTGAGTTACATTGGAGAAAAAAGTTTAAAGTTGTACAAAGATCTGGCTCCTAAAACCAGAGAGCTTTATTTGGCTTTCCAATTAAAACCCCATACAAACTACACAGGTTTAAACAATTTTCGGCGTTGGTTGGTCGTCAGTTGCCATTTTCAGGAGCGAAAAATACAGAACTGGTCGAGCTGTAAAGATCTAGTTACCCTGGCGGGATAGAGCTGAAAATTGTGCACTTTTTATACCAAACACCAATTTCAGAATGTTTCTAGTTTTCGCGCAAAATTCAAAAATTCAGAATTAGTGCGAGCGAATAAAATCGCTCTTAGCATTTAACTCATGCTTAAAGAACCGTTTAAGGTTTAAAGCTCTAATGACCCTTGAGGGATAGAGTTTTCAATTGCAAACTTTGTTTAACTATACACCCTTTTAGATTTTTTTAGTTTGGGTTGGTAATTGACAGAAAACGAAAATTCTTGACTGTGTATCTTAAACACAATGAAATATTGTTCTGGTCACTGTTGCTTTTAATGCTTATTGATGGTTATGGAGTTTTAAATAATTACGAAGAAATAGGTATTTATGTAATGTTAATTAGGCAGATTACATTGAAAAGCATCGATGCCGCAATTCCGATCTAGTTTTTTGCAAATATCTCAGTTTTTAATGGGTTAATTTTTTTACTGTTTACAGTACTCCCAAAATACAACAAACATTTGCACAAACCCGTTCGGACAAGCAA